AAAAAATGACAACATACAGGAAGGGCATACAAAGGAAGCGGCGAAATTTAAGACACCAAGTGATGATGGCACAAAGCAATACGATGCGGTAAATAATTTGCAAGATAAGTTGGAAAACATGATAAAAAAAGTCAAAAAGGAAGAGCAATCAAATAAGTTGGATATTTCGGATCAATTTGGAAAGCACTTTAAGTCATTAATTAAAATACGCTCGATTCAAGCTAAGATGAAGGCATATATTTTCTGATAAAAATTTCGTATTTGTGGTATATTAAATTACAATTCCCAATGACCAATGTTAATATGAAAGGTTAGTGGTAAAAACCTATTGTTTATACTGCTTGGAAGATAATATATGTGATATAATACGGAAAGGAAGTTGTTTAAAAGAAAGCAACAGAAACGCACTAAGGTGACTAAGCCTTTGCTTTGTGTTTCATTGCATTAATATTTGTTACCGTTCCGGATTTGAGTGTTAAATTGGTTTTATATTTTTTAAAAAGCATATATTTTACAATTGATTTTATTAATTGATTAATGCAGGATTTCGCAATATTTTAAGACAATCCTGCAGCGATGACGATACGTATATAGGCATATTCGTTTTCTCGTTGTAAGCAGATCACTGTAACACTGATGTATGCATGCATATACAGGGTGTATCAGAAAAAACGGAGTCGTCCTAAATATCCTTATTTCTATCGTAATATAAACTACCACAGTTTCGTTTTGGGCTCAATTTAAAGCTTGTTTTTTCATCTTTCGAATGAAGGGTTTCTTGAAAATTTTGAACGAAGGCTAATCGCAATAAAAAGAATTTAGTACAAGCGCTCGTTTTTAGATGCTTCGAAATATTAATCTTCGAAGTCCCTTGGGGACTTAGTTAAAGGTAGTTTGCTAAAATTTAGAACGTTGTTGTTTAAAACTTTACAATCACCATTCATAATGCCAAAGCTAACAATTCCGAAAAGAACGTTCATTGTTGAAAAGTATTTCGAAACAAACAGCGCTGTTGCAGTGTTAAGACAATTTCAAACAGGTTTTCCAGGACGTAATCTTCATCGAGCGCTTGGCGTAATGTCAACAAATACCGGCTGCATATGCATTGAATGGAAGAAACACCCCATAAAATTTAAATCGAAATAAAGGAAACTCGGGAAGAAGACTTGACTTGTCTTGGATATGAGACAAGGAATGAAATTGTGCATGTGAACTTAGAAATGCATGGAGGCCACGTTGAGTAAATGTGTACTTCTAACTTATTTTTTGGAACGTTTAAATAAATTGTGAATTCAACACATCTACGTTTTTAATTTTCCAATTGCACTTACTTAAATTGACACAGCTCGCCAGCAATAACTCCAAATTTTATAAAATAAAGTACATAAAATAGCCGAAAGATCGCGATTTCGAACGAATGCAAGTATAGATGTCTAACTTTCATATTCGCTTTTGAAATTTACACTTTATGTGAGGACTCCGTTTTTATTGATACACCCTGTAGTCATAAACCAAATTCCTGGCTTATCGCGTTTTAACCATATATAAAGGAGCACTCGGTAAATATAAAGATATACAAGCTTCAGTGAAGCTAGCAATGCCAAACTGTATACGCGGAATCCGGCGTTATACATGCAAGCTTCAGTGAAGCTAGCAATGCCAAATTGTATACGCGCAATCGCTCAATGCCAAAGTATACTTGCAGAGTGGTTTTTGAAGAACGAGGCATGATCACAACCTATATACAGGGTGTATCAAAATAAACGCAATTCATCTTTTATGCTTAATAACTTTCGAAATACTATTTCTAGTTAAACGCTTTTAGGCTTACTTCAAAGCCTGTTCTTTTCTCTTTCAAACAAACTATTATCCTTGTCTCCAATGCTAGTAATAATTGCACAGGAAAAGATTTAGTAAAACCTATCATTTTTAGTTGCTGTTTAATTATGCAAGTTTACTATGTTATTGTTTAGTCGGTTTAAATGTTAGAATTTTCTTCTTTAAACTTTAATGTTGTCGTCACTACATCTGGAACACCACGTAAGAACAAATTAAAAGTATTTTAAAAGATACCAGGTTGTTTGAAAATCCTGAACGAATCGGCTAAAAATCGTCAAAACATTCTGGTGTCTGAGCCAGAGTGTCATCGAATTGCGATGTCAGTGTAAACAGAAATTATAGCAAGTTGATGTCAGTCAGCTTAGATGGTCCAAGCCAAAATTATATCGCATTTGAAGTTTCAAACTGAGTTAAAAATAGTGGAAGAAAAGCCGTAATTATACTTATTGTTACAATCCATTTAATAAAATGCAACATTTTTTTGTTTCAATGAAAAAATCAGTTATTTTCATGAGAACGATTTGTTATTCCATCTCAATTTTTTTAATCTCCAATCCCAATGACGTAAAGTATTATTACCCGCGAACCAATGAGTCAAATTTAAGAAACTACCCACTGTTAGAAAGCTGAATGGCTTCGCTTTAAAATGAATGTAAACTTTAACGTTTTCGTCTATTATTTGTTTAGCAATTTACATTTCAGTCGAGGATTGCGCTTTTTTTGATACACTCTGTAGATATCGTATGATGCATGAATATTCTATACAATCGTGTGGAATATTCACTGATATGACTTTATATAAAGATACCAAATTTAATGAAGCAAAAAATGCCGAAGTATAAGTATACTTGTAGACCGCTGCATTTTTGAAGAACAGGCATGAATATATATTACGGCAGAGCTTACAGGAAAGGTAAATTCAGAAGATATGATACCCGATACTATTTTTGCCTTTTTACGACTCGTCGGTAAGTATAAAGATATATACAAGCTTCAGTGAAGCTAGCAATGCCAAATTGTATACGCGCAATCGCTCAATGCCAAAGTATACTTGCAGAGTGGTTTTTGAAGAACGAGGCATGGTCACAATATATATATATATATATATATATTGTATGATGCATGAATGTTCTATACAACCGTATAGAATATTCACTGATATGGCTTATTTAGGATTTTATCACCATACATGCAAGTGTTTAACCGATATATAATGGAGCACTCGGGAAATATAAAGATATACAAGCTTCAGTGAAGCTATAGAGTGAAGCTAGCAATGCCAAACTGTATACGCACAATCGCTCAATGCCAAAGTATACTTGCAGAGTGGTTTTTAAAGAACGAGGCATGATCACAATATATAGATATCGTATGATGCTGAATATTCTATACAATCGTATAGAATATTCACTGATATGACTTTATATAAAGATACCAAATTCAAGGAAGTAAAAAATGCCGAAGTATAAGTACTTGTAGACTGCATTTTTAAACAACAGGCATCAATATATATTACGGCAGGGCTTACAGGAAAGGTAAATTCAGAAGATATGATACCCGATACTATTTTGGCCTTTTTACGACTCGTCACGAAATTCGTGAACCGCATCAGCACAACATCATATGAATACTAGGCAGTGCAAATTTCATGTAAGCAAGTTCGTAAATTCAGAAGAGATGATACCCGGTACTATTTTTGCGTTTTTACGACTCGTGACGAAATTCGTGACGAGTTATGTCGACTTGTACCTTGCGATGTATTTCACGACTCGTGACAACTTGTAACGAGTCGTGAAATTGTGACGAATTATATCAACTTGTACCTTGCAATGGATTTCACAACTTGTGACAACTTGTAACGAGTCGTGAAATGCGGGAGTATTGGACATGTATGAAGAATTTGCGCAAAATTTCATTGTACTGTAAACCAGGAAAACCATACGCAAATAAATTTATTATGACTAATATATTCATAATATATGAAAGAGTAAACTATCATTATAAATTACCTCGATGGCGCCCATCAAGGGTCTACAGTTAGATGTTATGATCTTTTTATATTTGCGAATAGTTGTAGGCCTATATAAGTACAGTACACTTAATAACCTAATACAGGGAGCAACAAGCTAAAATTTAAGATAATCCATGTTATTTTCAGGGAGTTACTTTCAGGCTCCGAAGTGCGAAAAATAGGGTAATTAGCAAAAAGGTTCAAAATAATCCTTTTTTGGGGTTACAAATAACTGGGCTTGCATTAACTCTCATTTTGGTGTTAAAATATAACCGCTATAGTATGGCACATAGTATAACCGCCGGTACTCTGAAGATGTTTCCTGAACTTTTTAATAATTTTACACATTAATATTATGAAAACAAAAAAAAACATCATTTAGTTTTCATAGCATTAAAAATTGCGTAGAAATAATTAAAAAACGAGGCACAGTTTTCCGAGAGCGCTATACCCCGCTAGTCTAGCTATCGAACGCTTTCTAACGGTTTAATGCAAGCCTCGAGAAATATAGCAATTCTAATTATACTGTACTTCATTATTCCCTCCAGCAAAGTCAATTGCTTCATTTAATCCAAAATTTTCTGTGGAATAAATTTTATATCTACTAGTCATGTATTTGAAAATAATGTCAAGATTTATATCTACTAGTCATGTATTTGAAAATAAAGTCAAGATCTATAACTTGATTCCAAACCACCATTGACACAAACTGTCAAATTTAAATGTCCACAACTGAATTTATATTCATTTGTCAAAAGACAACAAGTATTTGCATTCCACATTTCATTCCGCATGCCATTCCGCATTACATTCCGCATGCCATTCCACCTTTTCCTTTCACCGTAGCTACATTGATAATTTCAAATCAAAAGAGGAAATAACACCCCTACATTTTAATCATATCAAATAATTCAATAATTATATATGATAGTTACAAGTCTATTCAATTCACTTTTCGTGCAGTTTATGATAGCAAACGCCCAAAGAATACTTTTGAGATTTCTGTTTCTTCAAAACCATGGATAAAATCGAAAGCAGCTGTGATGAATTCCTCACGACTAATTTCACCATTTTTATTCGAGTCAATCACGTTGAAGGAGTGCTTCATCTCATCTTCAGAAATATCGGGTGCAATTATTTGAAAATACACCTAGAACTCGTCCAGGGAAATGTGGCCGTTTTTGTCGAGGTCCAGGGCATCAAAAATCGGGTCACGAGTTTCTTTTAGGAGAGCCATTTTCTTTTCTTGTGCTATTACAGATAATTCTCGGTTTGCCTTTTGAGCCGCTTCTTCTACAGAGATCTTTACTCCAGGTTTCAGACCGAGTGCATCAGCAACAGCCATGAATGCATTGCGTGTCGATTCGGCGTCCTCTGCATTCAATTTACCATACTCTTGCAATTTCTTGGCCATGAGCTCGTAGTCTTCGCGAGATATGAAACCATCGTGATTCAAATCTAACCTGTTGAATCTAACCTGTTTCCAGGTGATACGCACGTTGTTTTTCAATGAAACTCGACATCGTAACGGTGTCCGGTGATGGCGGTGTCTGATGATGAACTATGCTTACAGCCCAGGTTAAACGTTGCTTTCAATTTGCATTTGACGTCAAATTTACCAAATGCTAGTCCAAATTTTGCCAAACCTACCAAAGCCAGCCAGGTAAAGAGCCCTCTCAGGCTCCACGTGTTATACCTATAAAACTCGCTTGACATCATGCAGGAAACCTCTGCACCGACAAGGATAATGCAAAGCAATTGTCACTCCGAACAGGAATCATTTTGAAAATGTGAGTAAACAATTTTTAAAATCTTTATCGTTTATGAACAATTATCGTTTATATCGTTATTATTATTATTATTTATTTATTTATTATCGTTTATTTATCGTTTATTTTTAAAATCTTTATCGTTTATGAAAAATACTCAGTGGTTCCAGAAATTTCATCAACTATTAAAGGCCTGTTTAAACGGATTCAACATTGTTGGACCAACATCATCCAACAATGTTACTATAATAGATATGACTGCTTCTCTTTCAAATATTTTTGGTTAGATAAGCTTTACTCAAACTCTAAACCTAGTCTTGACAAAAATATTTGAAAAAGAAGCCGTTTGGGCCATTATTTCAACAATGTTCGATCCATTTAAACAGGGCTTAAGGAATTATAAAATAGTATGTAATATTAAAGTTCGTTCAAAGGCAAAATAATTTCACAAATTACAATCCATTTGGAAGTGGGTGGGAAATGTCGGCTGTTAGAGAAATTAAGATTATTAAGATTATTACAATTGACGTTTACAGAAGACTGCGGACAGCAAATCGTAACTGTTGGAACTGTAGCTGTTCGTAGTTAAGACAAATAATGTGGGGCGGTGCCGAAGCAGTTAAAGCACTGCGTAACGACCTTGTGGCCAAATTGATAAGATGTATGATTAGGATTCAGAAGATTCCAGGTTCGAGCCCTAGCGGGGTCGCTTACATTGTCATTATACTTACGATTAAGATTATTTCAAGCCCATAATATTGACGAGAAATTCTTGACGTTAGTGGAAAATAATCGTTCGTTAGGTATTGGTGGCAAATGTCCTAGTGGATAAGGCGACTCACTTTGGATGGATGAGAAGCCAGGTTCCACTAATCATGTTGGGATTAATTTAATGACCTAGTCTGGTCGAAATGCCAAGCAGTTAATTTAACAACCATATATATGTGTTTTTCATTCTTTCCCATTATATATTTTGGAAAAAAAGAAATATTATACGGGAAATGGAATGAGATTTTCTTTGAATTTTATTGAAATGTATTGCGGCTTTTTCATGATTAAATTCAAGAAACAGGTGCATGCTTCCGTACACCCACAGTTGCTACGGCCTTGTTTACTTCACGACTTAGCCTCAGTAATGTATTAAAAAAAAACATCCCGTATACCCAAAGCCCCTGACCGACGCCATCATAAGAGGCAGCAAACCGAGAAACTCACCTGAATGAGATTTCTAAAAGTTTTTAAAATTTTAAGTTTAGCAAATACAAGCGTACAATCATAAATTACTAACAGCTCACAAACAACAAACCATATACATCAATATATATAGATCTAGAATACTAGTAGCAACGGGTGACGGGGACACCCGAACCAAGGGCGTCAATCCACCCCAAAAATTGGGGGGGGGGGGGACGGACTCCAAATTTGGAAGGTCCGGAGGTATGCTACCCGGAATGTTTTTTTTTAATTTTGGTACACTGAAATGGCATTTCCAGGATTTTGGAGGCATTAAAGGTAAAGTTACAGTACAATGTGCATGATCTTAATCCATTTTTAACCATGTGAGAAATCCGCTAAAAAACAAGGTTGTGCAAGTGTCAGTAAAGCGCATCAAAGTTGTTAATTATAGTTGTTAGTTATTCATTTGGTTAGATTGCAATGCTATGTCTACAACATTTAATTGGAGACAGGCGAAAAGCTACAAAAGTGGAATGTTTAGCCTTAATATTTTCACCATATTTGAACTTTTGAAATTTATGGTAAAAAATAAAACTATATCTGGTCTGAAATCTTAATTTCCATTACTCATTACTCCATTAGCTCAATAATTGATGCATAATAGTTTAAAACATATTATCAGTCCCTTTTTACTGTAAATATACATATTTATTATATAAAGTATAGTGCTTTATAGAGATTTCGAGCACTGATAAAAGTGATAAATCTCACATGTGAGATTATTCATGATAGTCTGAAATATGAAAATTATTTCTTTTCAATTATCAATTTTCTGTAAAAATTATCGCTTTTCAAAGACTGTCCTTTATATAATAAACAGAAAAATACATGGGTGCTTGGAAATACCAGATTTATTTCTCGTGTTGAACTCGAAATATATCTGGTATTTCCGCGCACCCATGTATTATTCTCCATTTATCCTTGTTCAATATAATAATTCGAACTGACTAAATAAAAGAATGAAATAATATAAGGGGTCTTAATTGAAAAAAAAAGCCTATTAGGTTTCTAGAACGCCCCTAGCCTATCCAAATTAGAAAAATAAAATGTAAATAACGTCTAATTACTTTTTGCATCAGCGAAGCAGATATATATATGCTATCGCAAACGTGACCGTGCCGTACCGTACCGTGACCGTAACCGTATGTTAGCATATAGCAATTCAGCGACGAGCTTAAATAATTTAAGCCAATCAGCGATTATGTTACATCGTGTCCGCCATCTAACCTGCGAACGGGCATGGTTTTGTCTCGTGTTATTCAGGTGTTTATATTGTGTTTGCCATTTTGGCACAGATTTTGGCTTCAAAAATATCTTGATTTTATCTTGGTTCTTGAATTGGCTGTCTAGTTTTCTTGCTATTCTACTTGCGAAATTATTCCGAAGTGTTTGTCAACATGGAAATTTTATTTCGTCATTGGACTGCGTCACTTAAGGAGTCATGTGAGATATGCGCGCGCAGATCGAGTGTTCAATTGCAAGCAATGATCGAGAGTGTTCACATGTTTTATTTCGCGGGAACAAAATATTGACAATATGTAAGTATATTGTACGTTTCTGCCTTAACATACACGAGGTGATTGTTTCTAACATAGTATTTGTAAAGTTTTCTCGCCATGTAGGGTTTTTTTCATCACACAAGGGTGTTATAAGACGAAAGAATGTCCAACGAAATATGACCTTGCGCACGGCGTTAATTAATAGAACCGTCAACTACAGGAATCAACCCTATCTTCTTCAACAATGCCTGGACCAAGGGCTATCTGTCACACTGAAAGATCTCGCCGAAACAGCAAAATATATAAAGGTCGAAGAAACACCGTTTTCAGACCTGAACATGAGATCTTGCCGAATCGGGACTTGTATTATAAACACGTGGACTCGGCACGTCGGCGTGTATGTACAGTCAATGACAGCGGAGGCAACATTTGGTACAAGAGATTGAAGAAATACCGTCCAGTCAGTCATGAATATGATATCCTGCCGTTCGACAGTTTATATTAATTAAAAACACGTCAATGACAGTGGAGCCGGCAACGACAGAGTTTAATACATGAAACTTGGCAATGGTCAACGTTGCGAAAAATATTTGTATTTGTATTTGTATTTAATAACTTTGTTGCTTTAGAAGAAAAACCATACACACTTGCATCATCCAAGCACTACTATATATACTGCTAAATACAAGAATGTAGTAATTAGTTAAAAAAACAACTGGTGGCCAAACAGGGCATTGCCCCAATTGAACATGACTACCAATTTAAAAACCTATTAAAGAGTTTATATATACCTAACATTTGCTACTATATATTTATATATACATATTAACAACTAATGGAACACTCTGCAAACTACTTATGTGGCAGTTCATAAACATTAAGTTCTATATAAAATTTCTTAAGAAGTCTGGACTTAAAAATACTAGAGCTGTCAATTGCTTTGAGATCACTATCTAACGAGTTCCACATTGTCACAGCTCGAGGAAAATACGAGTTTTTAAAAAATTCAGTTCTACATTTAAATTCAGTGAAATTATTCACGTCATGTGACCTAATGTTATATCTAGGAGCAAGTCGACTTTGTACATAATCTGGTAAATGTATATCCAATAGACCTGTTCTACATTTATGAAAGAATAACAAGTCTTTCATGCTTCTCCTGACATCAAGTGGTAGAAGGTTAAGTTTTATCAAACGTTCTTTATATCCAGTGTCAGGGTAATTTAAAATAAACTTTGTAGCTCGTCGTTGCACCGCTTCCAACATAAGCTGGTATTTTACTTCTGACGGGGACCACAACTCTGATGAAAATTCCAGCTGCGGCCGAACCAATGTAAGGTAGAGGAGCTTCCTGACAGTTTGATCTTCAAAATCTCTGCAGGTTCTTTTGATCAACCCGAGTGTTCGATTTGCTTTTGCCGTAATCTCTGCAATATGCTTCCCCCAACGAACATCGTCACTCACAGTTATTCCAAGATCTTTGGTGGTTTTTACCAATTCGAGAGATTCGTGTCCCAATATGTAATCACTCACGTGCGACTGGATTTTTTTTCGCGACAACCTCATAACTTTACATTTATTTGTATTAAATTTCATACGCCACGTTTCTGTCCAAGAGTTCATTTCATTTAAATCTAGCTGTAAATTTTCAGTATCCGCATCCGATTTTATTGTTCTATATAATTTTGAGTCGTCAGCATATAATGCCATTTCTGTTGGTTGCTGAATTTGATCCGGAAGGTCATTAATGTACAATATAAAGAGCAGTGGACCGAGAATAGATCCCTGTGGAACTCCAGAAGTCACATCGAGCCATTCAGAATAATGACCGTCAAGCGCAACTCGTTGGATCCTTCCTGATAAGTAACTTTTAAACCAGTTGAAAATAGAACCATAGAAACCGTGTTTGCTTAATTTACGGAGCAATAAATGGTGAGATACCTTGTCAAACGCTTTTTGGAAATCAAGATAAATTACATCAACAGAGTGTTTATTGTCCAGTGCTTTAAGAATCTTGTGATACACTTGGATTAACTGTGTTGTGCAATTTCTGCCTCGTAAGAAGCCATGTTGTAAATGGTGTGCAATTCCGGAAATAGAGTCATAACACCGGTTGTAGATGCATTTTTCCAACACTTTCGAGACTATGCATAGCAGAGAAATCGGCCTATAGTTTTCAACGCAATGCACGTCGCCAACTTTCGGAACCGGAGTGACGTTCGCCTGTTTCCATATGGATGGAACTTCTCCTAATCTTAGAGAAAGGTTAAAAAGGCGTGTTAGCGACGGAGTTATTTCGTTTGCAACCGTCTTAAGAAGCCTTGCAGAGATATCATCAGGTCCACCCGTTTTCGTCTGGTCTAGGTTTAATAAACAATCTAGCACTTCACTCTCGTTTAAAACAATTTGACTTAGACTGTTGTCTACAATTTCACAATTTTCCTCACTGCGGTATTCATCACTAGATTCTGGAGAAACCCCTGAATTGAACACAGAGTGAAAAAAACTGTTCAGGAGATTAGCTTTATCCTTGCCGTCTGTGGCGAATACATTTCCGTATTTCAGAAATTGAGGAGTGCTATATGCTCTAGTTTTTGCTTTAATAAATGTCCAAAAACGTTTCGGATGTTCAGTTAAATTTGATTTGAGTTCGTTCAAATAATCCTTATATTTTACTTCAATAAGCTTTCCAGCATTTCTTCTAATTTCTTCAAAATTCTCAATGTCCGTATGATCACCCGTTCTCTTCGCTATTTTACGCATTCGATCTTTTTTATGCATCATCTGAATGACCTCTTTATCAATCCAAGGTTTATTATTATTATCCGATATTGCGACCTGCGGTACATGCTCGTTTGTTATTGTCAACAATAAGTCCATCCAATTAGTCACACTTATATTAACGGATGATTCATCAAATGCAAGGTCCCAGGGGGTACGCGAAATTGATTGTTTTAAACCACTTATGTCGGCTTTCTTCCAGTTATAAACAATCCTTTTGACAGGACGTTTTTTATTAATGATAAAACTTAAATTAAAGTCAATCAGTTTATGGTCAGTTTTGAGAATATCATCGAAAACACAAACATCTTTAACTTTGTGCGGAATGTTTGTTAATAGTAGATCAAGAATGTTTGCACCGCGTGTTGGAAATTCGACCATTTGCCATAAAAAGTTATCTCTGACCATTTTGGTGAATTCATTGTGCAAACAGTCATTATGCATAGCCGTTCCAGTTGACCAATTTATATCGGGAAAATTAAAATCTCCCAGTATTACAAGTTGCGAAATGTGTGTTTTAGATGCTTTGCGAAGAAAGTTCTTGAAGCAATTCATATACTCAGATTTGGATGACGGTGGTCTATAAAAAACTACACACAGAAATTTCTTTTTTGCTTCTGGTCTAATTTCACAAACGAGAATCTCGGCATTTGTTTCTAAATCTGTCCTTCGTACTGATTGTAATGTGCTATCGACTGCGAGCATAACACCGCCCCCACGGCTTGGCACTTCTCTGTCACGGCGATGTATATAGTACTTGTTCGAGGGAAGTAATTCATTATTACTTATTGAGTCGTTCAACCATGTTTCGGTGATAGCTATAAGGTCATACTGTTTAGAGCTAGCAATCACTTCAAGTTCTCTAGTTTTATTGACCACGCTTCTTGAGTTAAATAAAGGCATTTCAGCTCATGGCGAGAAGATTGTGTTGTCTGCCTCGTTGAATCAGTTGTCGGGCCAGGATTAGGAGAAACGTCCCCGCTTACAGATATACGTTCGAATTGAAATGTAGCGTTTGAATTAGAATAGTAGCCGATTCGCGAAGAGAAAAATCTTGCTCGCCTACCTCGTTTATTTTGTATATGATGAAATCTCGTCGTGTTAAGATTACCCAAACGGTACCAAATTGACAATGTTGAACTCGTTAACGGCCTTTCAAAGTAAGGCAGAGATAGATTGCCATGACTCGTATGATGTCTCACCTTGGAGTTGTAAACTTGGAAGCCAAAGATTAGCAAGCTTAATGTGCAAAACAGGGAGGTCAGAAACACACGTCCACTCATGTTGATATTTTTCGGCATGTTAGATGGTCTCTTCGTATTAGTACAATATTGTCAAAACGCCGACTCGGCGGATAATGCACAATTTGGCAATGCCAATGGTCAACCTTGCGGAAGAATTATTAAAACGCCGACTCGGCGGATATTATAAATGTACATGAACAGCTTAAAATACAGCCGCTATTAATATTAACTAGAAATAGTTTACACTAAAACTGCCCCCGGCTGATTATGGTGTACTAACTAGCTGTTATTAAAAATTAAAAATGATCATGCCTTATGGTAATTTACAAAATGTTATTACTACTTTCTGGCTTTCTTTCAAAACGCTTAGAAGATTGAGAAAATTGGACGAACTTTAAAAGTGAACCACGTGTAACTTGATCCTTGTGCGTCTATCCGGCTGAAGGAATGGAGCTTTTCAATATAATGGAACAATGACTATATGAGTCACTTGTTACAAACGTTTATAATGTGACCGTTGTGTGTTTTTATATTTGTATCAATTTTTTATATTTGTATTTCTTTTTGACTGACTGATGTGTGAACCAAGTCTTTTGGTTCCTGTTTTGATTAATGTGTCTGAAAAATCGTATAGTTGATACTTGATAGAATCTTGATAGACGGAGTTTTTAATTTGCGTTACTGTTTTCGTTATTTGACGGATCGACTCCTTCACCAACAAATGATAGTAACGACGTACCTCACAAGTCTATTAATTAATAGACACGTAAAACAGACCACAGAAATAAAATGCCGTTTGACAAGGTGTTGACCCAAGCGAATAATAATTCTTACAGAAAGCAACGCAACCTTTGAACCCTCACCTTTTAAACTTGCGCAGCTACGGCACTACGCCAATAATTCACTTGCCTTTTATAATAAAATTTGAACCCTCACCTTTTAAACTTGTGGCCTTTTACTGTAATATATAAACTAATTGCTTCTAATCTTGATAGCTTTAACAATTCATGCTTGATTTATATTTGCATCAACTTATATCATATTACGTGCAGGGACTTCAATACCCCCAATGTTTTACGATATTACCCGCAAAGCATTGATATTACCCACCAATGCTTTGCGGGCGAAAACCTAAAAACTTAAATTTCTCTGCCTCTGGTATACACCGTATGTATACACTGATATCATATTACACTATTACGTCCGGGGACTTCAATATATGCCTCCTCGGGTTTTGGCCCTCTGGAGCCAAAACCCTGCGGGGGCAATAATACACATGATGCATTACTAAAACGCCGCACCCGGTCATAAATTAGCATTTTTATTAAACTGTTGAACGGGGAAACATATAGAATAATATAATTAAAACGGGGAACTGACAGAGAATGTCAATATTATACAAGCTGCCGAGCTGTTGAATGGGGAAAACATTTGTGTTATATCGCAAGTTAAATGATTTAATATGTAAACCTTAAAATCGAGGTACAGACTACAGCTATACTACACGAACTGTACGGTATGTAAATAGCAAATGCTATACAGATACACACTATTATTACATGCCCAAAACGCCAACATGGCAATAGTAAACAACTTGATAATGTTGTACTAATCTCGGCAGGGACATCTCCCTCGCCTGCATTGTACTCACCGGGAGAGTCAAGAAAAAATGTTTGTAGCTACATTGCAATATTACACGGTGATTCTGTTCAGTAAAAAATACAGTGTTTCCCGGCTTTGTCATTAGCGCCTTTAACATGTAATCGTGGTAACAAAATCCAGGTTTTAAAACATGCCAGTGGTTGTGTGCAAGTTGCCTACGATGAAAAAAAAAAAATTGTGGAATTTTATGAAATCACAGACTTTGGAAAACTACTGATATTATCTGGACCCCAACACACAAGTGGGTATCCAATTTCTTTGCACAGATTTATAGATGTTCTGTCAGGGTCATTGAACTTATGATGATTTTCCTGGCAAAGTGATATTATCGGGGTTAATATTAACCTGTTGTATGGATATAGCATGAAATATACTGATTATACTGTTTGTTCAGTTCCAAGCAAAACTTTAGAGAATAATGATGACATTATCATGCATATACAGTACAATATTACAATATTCCATTATTAATAATTCATTTTATTATTAAAGATTATCACTGAAATTGCAAATCTTTGCTGTTAGTTAACTTAACATTCCATGCGTGTTAGCTCATTTTTCACCTTTTGTGAAATGGTTACACGGCACTGGTGATTACAAGGCTTTGAAGTCTCACATGCCTCCTTAGTGACGTAGTCCAATGACGAAATAGAATTTAAAAATTAAACGAGACTTACCTTAAGTCGAAGTTTGGTTCTAATTCTATGAGTTGTTGGACAAGGAAACTAGGGAGTCACCCACCACTTTTTTCTTGACATGGGCCTATATATTATGTATTGTACACGCAAACCCTCCCAATAAATACTTGAAATCACTCGTTGCGTTAAATATTGAACACTAGATCTGCGCGCGCATATCTCACATGACTCCTTAGTTTACTTGTCCAACAACTCATAGAATTACAATCAAACTTCGACTTAAGGTAATTCTCGTTTAATTTTTAAATTTATCCTCATCTGGTATGAATAGTCAAATAGCACATGTTTTCATTACATATTTAAATACCAAATTTGTGCAAATGCGACATTATATTTTTATTAGTTCATATATATAAACATTTTAAGCAATTTGTCAACTTAGTTCACAAAAACTTTTGAGTAAAACAATCATTGTGCGATATTTAAACAGTCAAAACATAGCAGGCAATATTCGAAATGCTGTGAAGATTCGTAATGCCAACACTGTTGACTGTTTTAAGAGGCTCTTAAAGTCGCTTAAAGTCTTATTATTTTAGACTGGCTTTCAATTGATCTTTGGACCATTGAGATAACTGTACTCTTGATATAGGATTTTCTATAGTTGTAATTGTATTTTATCGCATACTTGTAAGGCGCTTTCGATCATTTTGTCATGTAGAATACCCCATATAAATTGTCAAATTATTATATATTATATACAAAATCAAAGTAAGCTAATCTTCTCAGGAGATATTGATCCTAGTCCTACTCCTGTGCTCTATTTCTGTAACTCTGTTCAAAACAACAGTCCAACAAAGCTGTCCTCAAATGTATTGTTAGAAGCAAAGGTTAAGATATTATCAGTTAATTTAAAATACTTATACCTGTCCAGTACATTTTAGTTTTACACACTAGTTGTCATTACCACACTTTTCAGAACCCTTCTCAGCAGAAAATCAGTTTAGATATACAAATCGCTGCCAGTTTCCACGTGACAGGGGGAACCAGTTACTATAACAACTGCAGGTGCTGATAAGTTGTTTTCACATCTTAATATACATTTCCATTTTCCAAATTTGAAATGTTGTAACCGTTTTCGTAATACAAAATAATTTTAATAGAATACGATGAAATATTCACCTCAAAGCTTTGAGATCGAGTGTGTACTGTTTACAACCAAACGTTACGGCTAACAAATTTTCATAACATAAAAATTATTGCTGGGCTCTTCTATTCATTTCTAATCTAAGACTTCCGCTTGGTGTATCAATAGCTACAGTGATAATTTCAAGTCATAATAGGAAAAAATACCCCTACTACTTTTTAATTATATCAAATAATTCAATAATTATATGATAGTTACAAGTCTATTTAATCAGTTCACTTTTCGTGCAGTTTATTGCAGCAAACGTCCAAAGAATAATCCGCTGCCAGTTTCCCACCTGTTATCCACATGACAGGGGGAACCAGTTACTAACAACAGGTACAGATAAGTTGCTTTCATCTCTTTATATTCATTTGCTTTTTCCAAATTTGAAATGTTATAACCGTAAATTCCGTAATTCAAAATAAATTCTATTGTAAATATACAATAATAGCATACCGTGATCATGTAAAATTCAATAATTCTATGATAGTTACAAGAGCTATTCAGTTCCCTTTTCGTGCAGTTTATTATAGCAAACGTCCAAAGAATACTTTTGAGATTTCTGTTTCTTCAAAACCATGAATAAAATCGAAAGCAGCTGCGATGAATTCCTCACGACTAATTTTACCATTCTTATTCGAGTCAATCACGTTGAAGGAGTGCTTCATCTCATCTTCAGAAATATCAGGAGCAACTATTTGAAAATACACCTTGAACTCGTCCAGGGAAATGTGGCCGTTTTTATCGAGGTCGAGGGCATCAAAGATCGGGTCATGAGTTTTTTTTAGGGAAGCCTTACTTTTTTCTTGTGCCATTACAGATAATTCTCGGTTTGCCTTTTGAGCTGCTTCTTCTACAGAGATCTTTACTCCGGGTTTCAGATCTAATCGATCAGCAACAGTCATGAATGCATTGCGCGTCGATTCGGCGTCCTCTGCGTTCAATTTACCATACTCTTTCAATTTCTTGGCCATGAGCTCGTAGTCATCGCGAGATATGAAACCATCGTGATTCAAATCTAATCTGGTGAATCTAGTTCGCATTTTCAGCAAGTGATACGCGCGTTGTTTTTCAGTCAAACTCGACATCGTGCTGCGGTGTCTGGTGATGGTTTTGTCCGATGATGATTTATAATTACAGCCAGGTTTACACGTTTACATGTCATATTTACCAAATGCTAGTCCAAATTTTGCCAAACCTGCCAAAGTCAGCCAGGCGAAGGACCGTAACTTTTAGCCTGCTCTCAGGCCCTACCTGCCATACCTCTAAATCTCGCATAGGCGCGTGGGCGAGGGGGGGGGGGGCGCGTTGTAATGGGCTTGATCTCGTGTTCTTTTCTTAGCCAATGTTCCTTGCGCGCTCGCTACATTCCTACTACAGTTCGCCCTTTCTCGAGGGTTTAGTTTTTAACAAAACACTAAAATACTTTACACTACTACTTTAGTTAATTGACTCTACGCTATGTTAGTTACTCTAGTACTGATGTTTCTATAACAAATGTTTCTAATAAACAAAATTACAACCACAATCAACAATGTTTAAACTTGTGAAAAAATGTTCATATCAAGTTTTATGTAATACGTTCCGCCAGTTGCTCCCTCTTCTAGAGAGAGAAATGGACATTTTGTGACAATACCACGAAGTTTACCGAGTCTTGCGATGATTTCTCTTGCTTCCGGTAGTTGTTTGTAAATAGCTTTACAGGCTTCGGAAGAATAAGCTTTATGGTTTGGTTGGTCCTTTAGATAATTGGCAATAGCATGTGCGACTTTAGCGATGTCAGGATTGAGATGCGTCTGTCGTGGTTGTAGAATATCGTCTTCAGCAATGCTACTTGATTGACCATTTTGTTCCTCAGGCGCACGAATATCTTCATGTTCATCAGGGATGCCTTCAGGCACAACTACAATTTTTTCAATATTTACGACTTAAACATCATCAGGTTTCTGTTCATGACGAATTTCTAAGAGGTCTTCTCGATTACGAACGTACGACAATGTACGGTCCTTCGAATTTACGAATAAACCGTGTTGCAGAACCTTGTGGTTGCGATGACGGTGGTGGTTTCTTTACGTAGACACGTTTGCCTACTGGGACAGACAATTGCCGAGATTCTTGATCGTACGTATCTCGTTGAGATCTTTTGAGATCGGCTTTAACAATATTGAAATGTTTATGGGCTTCTTACATGCGCGATACGAGCTGTTGAGCATAAGCGTTTCGTGTTTGAAATACGAGTGGTAGTTCTAGTCGTAAAGTTTCTGGACATGGAGCATGACGTCCGAAAACAAGGAAGAATGGGTTAACTTTTTCTGTACCGGGAATTGGTGAGGTGTTGTGAGCATAAACAGCTGGCTGTTGAAATTCTTCCCAACGCGATTGGTATATCTCGCAGTAAATTGCAATTGCGGAATTTCACTATCTGTGTACACGTTCCGTACTACCGTTAAGGCGAGGACGATAACTAGTCCTGAAAACATGTTCTATTGAAAGTATTTTTGTTAGGTAATGCAAGAGTGCATTTGACCATTCACCTTCTTGATCACTTTGAAGAACGGTAGGAAATCCATATTGTAGGAACACATCGTCTAGAAGAGCCCGTGCAGCTGTATTAGCATGTTTATCAGCAACTGGTATTGCGCGAAGAAAGTTTGAATACGGAGAAACGGCGGTGATTATCCACTTGTTTCCATTTGTGCTCACTGGAAGTTCGCCTATGTAGTCAACACCAATTGTGTGAAAAGGTCGCTGATAAATACGAACTTGCATTGGTCCATGATTTGGCGTTTTAGACTTGAAGCGAGTACACTGCGGACAACGACGTATCCAATTCCGGACGTGTTTAGACATGTTTTTCAAGTAGAAATGTGCAGATAATGCTTCGAATGTTGCTTCACGACCCCGGTGCACAGCGTACAATGAATCGTGAAAAGCTCAGATTAAATTTCGACGAAGGGTTATATCACTTGGAACCATGTAACGAAATTGATTTGGGTTTGGCATAAACTCGTCACTATACATTAAAACTTCGTCCACAAGAGCTGTTCTTTTGGTAGTTTAATACACCCAATTTTTATGTTTTGGTGGTGTCGTAGGTGAAAAGGATGAACCTGCCGTTTCTAGATATCTCATTAGTAATCCACATCAATAGTCTTTGCGTTGTAACTCCGCAAATTTTGCACGATAATAATTAATCTTCGCTAAAATGTTTAAATTTGTTGAATCCGACTTTCTGAGCTGTTCGTTATCCGAGGAAACAATTTGGGAGTCTGGGTTGACGTTTAAGGTTGTAACCTCCTCATGTGTGTTCAACGCTGCAACGCTGTGTGTTCAACGCTGCTCATGTCCAGGAAACCTTGAACCCGTAAATAGTAATATAGGTACCGATCGGGCCGGATTTTTGCGGTGGTGGTGGTGGTGGTGGTGGTGGTGGTGTTGGTGTGGTGGTGGAGTTTGAGGAGGTGGAATTTCAGGTGGTGGAGTGTGGTGGAGTGAGGAGGAGTAATGACGTCACTCATTAACATACGTTAAACACGATCAGGTGAAACTTGCTCACTACGCATTTTTTAGCGTCCCCCCACGTGTATGGTACAATAGAGGGATTAATTTTGGTTTGCTATGAATAGCTCGAGTCCCTCACAAGGCAAAATTGTTATCGAAATTAATAGATAGCAGTGTTATAGCCGTACCTTTGCTAGCAAGAGATAAATTTCCACGAGTATATTGAAGGATTTTTCGTATGTTTACAAAATTATAGCGAGGAATCTATTCGTCACAAAAATCAAGACATATTTTAAACAGAACTAAACAGTTGCTAATCCCGGGTTGTCAACGTCGTTGTTAAGGTCAATATTATTAATATATAGCAGAGTTATAGCCGTATCTTTGCTCGGAAGAAATAAATTTCCACGAGTATTTGAAGGATTTTTCGTATGTTTACAAAATTATAGAGAGGAATCTATTCGTCACAAAAATCAAGACATATTTTAAACTAAACAGTTCCTAATCCCGAGTTGTCAACGTCGTTGTTATGGTCAATATTTGCATGTTGTTCAACGTTATTTTAGCAAATCTTCTACATACATATATACTGTTAAGATGACCGAGTCAGATCATAAGTAAGCTTATCAAGAATATAAGTTAGAATTGGAACAGTTGTAATATATTTTGCGATAAAAACATGTAGTCGTTATATACGTTGTTATGTGTTGCTAAGTCATTAGCAATGCTTGGGTGCATGCATATATTAACGTACAACATATTTGTACACTAATGAGGCGGGCGGTTTGCGCGGACTGAAAAGCGGGCTTTGCAGGCAAAAGTTTGCACAAGATTTCAGTTTTAAAATTCATTTTTTGCTATCTTGAGTTATATAAACACATGGAAGTTAAAGGTCATGATATATAATTGTCAAGCGATTTCTATATTTTAGTGCTAGGTTTTTAAAGTACTAAAAGTGGAATAAGGTTAATAAATTTAAGCTATATTAAAGCACACCGGTTGCTATGTGTTGTTAGGGTGAAACTAATTAAATGATTAATTTTTATCAGAGATTTGCATTTTCTAATGTGGATAAATACGGATAGATTAGGATATTCATTGCGCGGGCGTCGCGGGTTATCCGTGCGGGTTGGAAACACAATAAAGAGGTTTATATTGGAAGAGAGAAAGCAGTTTAAACAGGACAGGAGCGCTTTGCAGCCAGACCAGAAGTTTACACAAAAATTAAGTCTTAAAATACATTTATTTCTTCGAGACGTTTACAAAGTTAATGTGGTCTACTTCTTAGAGCATAATGTGTTTGATTGTATATAAATTACGCACAACAATTTAAATGTTTTTTGTAATAAGAGTCGTTTGGCTTAATTTTTCATTCGCCATGGTTTCTATACTCTTATAGCCCTACATCAACCCTACATCGACCCTACATCGACCCTACATCACACCTACATGTCGCCGGAAAAATCAACTATAAATGATTATTCCTTATCTTATCTTTATCTACATCGACCCTACATCACACCCACATGTCGCCGGAAAAATCAACTATAAATGATTATTCCTTATCTTATCTTTATCTTCCTTATCCTAATCTTCTTATCTTTATCTTATTATCCCTATCTTTATGAAATACTATAGTCCTGACTACGAAAGACTATAGTCCTGACTATGAAAGACTATAGTCCTGACTATGAAAGACTATAGTCCTGACTATGAAAGACTATAGTTCTGACTATGAAAGACTATAGTCAGGACTATGAAAGACTATAGTCCTGACTACGAAAGACTATAGCCCTGACTATGAAAGACTATAGTCCTGACTATGAAAGACTATAGACCTGACTATGAAAGACTATAGTCCTGACTATGAAAGACTATAGTCAGGACTATGAAAGACTATAGTCCTCAGGACTATGAAAGACTATAGTCCTCAGGACTATGAAAAACTATAGTCTTGACTATGAAAGGACTATAGTGTCAGGACTATAGTCTTTCATAGTCAGGACTATAGTCTTTCATAGTCAGGACTATAGTCTTTCATAGTCAAAACTATAGTCTTTCATAGTCCTGACTATAGTCTTTCATAGTCAGGACTATAGTCTTTCATAGTCAGGACTATAGTCTTTCATAGTCAGGACTATAGTCTTTCATTGTCAGGACTATAGTCTTTCGTAGTCAGGACTATAGTCTTTCATAGTCCTGACTATAGTCTTTCATAGTCAGACTATAGTCTTTCATAGTCAGGATTATAGTCTTTCATAGTCAGGACTATAGTCTTTCAAAGTCCTGAGGACTATAGTCATTCATAGTCCTGAGGACTATAGTCTTTCATAGTCAGGACTATAGTCTTTCATAGTCAGGACTATAGTCTTTCATAGTCAGGACTATAGTCTTTCATAGTCAGGACTATGGTCTTTCATAGTCAGGACTATAGTTTTTCATAGTCCTGAGGACTATAGTCATTCATAGTCCTGAGGACTATAGTCTTTCATAGTCAGGACTATAGTCTTTCATAAAGATAGGGATAATAAGATAAAGATAAGAAGATAAGGATAAGGAAGCTAAAGATAAGATAAGGAAGATAAAGATAAGATAAGGAATAATCATTTATAGTTGATTTTTCCGGCGACATGTAGGTGTGATGTAGGGTCGATGTAGGGTCGATGTAGGGTTGATGTAGGGCTATAGGAGTATAGAAACCATGGCGATTGAACAATTAAGCCAAACGACTCTTATTACAAAAAACATTTAAATTGTTGTGCGTAATTTATATACAATCAAACACATTATGCTCTAAGAAGTAGACCACATTAACTTTGTAAACGTCTCGAAGAAATAAATGTATTTTAAGACTTAATTTTTGTGTAAACTTCTGGTCTGGCTGCAAAGCGCTCCTGTCCTGTTTAAACTGCTTTCTCTCTTCCAATATAAACCTCCTTATTGTGTTTCCAACCCGCACGGATAACCCGCGACGCCCGCGCAATGAATATCCTAATCTATCCGTATTTATCCACATTAGAAAATGCAAATCTCTGATAAAAATTAATCATTTAATTAGTTTCACCCTAACAACACATAGCAACCGGTGTGCTTTAATATAGCTTAAATTTATTAACCTTATTCCACTTTTAGTACTTTAAAAACCTAGCACTAAAATATAGAAATCGCTTGACAATTATATATCATGACCTTTAACTTCCATGTGTTTATATAACTCAAGATAGCAAAAATGAATTTTAAAACTGAAATCTTGTGCAAACTTTTGCCTGCAAAGCCCGCTTTTCAGTCCGCGCAAACCGCCCGCCTCATTACTGTACAAATATGTTGTACGTTAATATATGCATGCACCCAAGCATTGCTAATGACTTAGCAACACATAACAACGTATATAACGACTACATGTTTTTATCGCAAAATATATTACAACTATTCCAATTCTAACTTATATTCTTGATAAGCTTACTTATGATCTGACTCGGTCATCTTAAGAGTATATATGTATGTAGAAGATTTGCTAAAATAACGTTGAACAATATGCAAATATTGACCTTAACAACGACGTTGACAACTCGGGATTAGGAACTGTTTAGTTTAAAATATGTCTTGATTTTTGTGACGAATAGATTCCTCTCTATAATTTTTGCAAACATACGAAAAATTCTTCAAATACTCGTGGAAATTTATTTCTTCCGAGCAAAGATACGGCTATAACTCTGCTATATATTAATAATATTGACCTTAACAACGACGTTGACAACCCGGGATTAGCAACTGTTTAGTTCTGTTTAAAATATGTCTTGATTTTTGTGACGAATAGATTCCTCGCTATAATTTTGTAAACATACGAAAAATCCTTCAATATACTCGTGGAAATTTATCTCTTCCTAGCAAAGGTACGGCTATAAGACTGCTATCTATTGATTTCGATAACAATTTTGCCTTGTGAGGGACTCGAGCTATTCATAGCAAACCAAAATTAATCCCTCTATTGTACCATACACATGGGGGGACGCTAAAAATTGCGTAGTCAGCAAGTTTCGCTTGATCGTGTTTAAGCTCGCCCGCGTGACGTCATTGCATATAACTATGACATATGTTAATGAGTGACGTCATTACTCCTCTTCACTCCACCACACTCCACCACCTCAAACTCCACCACCACCACCACCACCACCACACGACCACCACCACCACCACACCACCACCACCACCACCACCACCACCGCAAAAATCCGGCCCGATCGGTACCTATATTACTACTCCCGTACCATAGATACGGGTTCAAGGTTTCCTGGACATGAGCAATGGTGTGATGGGGAACATCAACAGATGTAGAAGTTAGCAGAAAAGATAAGATATTGTTTTGAGGGGCGATAGGAGGTGGTCCTGGGGGCAGGGAATCAGGCATAGGCTCACGGCTTAGAACGTCGGGTACAACATTCTTGGCGCCAGATCGGTGTTCAAGGAAAAAATCAAACTCAGCCATGGAGAGGCACCAACGTGCAAGCTTTGATTGTTGTGGTGCAATTGAGGATAACCACTGAAGATTTGCATGATCAGTTACTACTTGAAGTAAACAGCATAAAATTCCTACTGTGTGGTGGTCCATCGTGATTCTGACGTGGTAAAGGCTCGAGAGGCAAAGCGAATTGGACGTAACTTGTTATCTTTCCATTGCGCTAGCATTGCACCACAGCGTCGTTTACTAGCATCCAGTGTGTACTTCGAAGGAGGAATCCCAGTTGGGATGATATAGCATCAAGTTTGGGCCACTTATGAGACATTTTAATGTTTCATACTCGTCAGTATGCTGTTTGGTCCAGACAAAGCGTGTATCTTTCTTACGTAAAGCACGGAGAGCTTGGGTTTTAGTTGGCATGTCCGGGATATAATCGCGAAAATAACTACAAAGTCCGAGAAATCGCCTAAGGCCCTTTGTATTAATGGGAGGTGGCATTGTTGTTTTGGCTTCAATGCCTTTTGAATTGGGCTGGCGTCCATCCTCAGTTTTTTTATGTCCTAATACTTCCACTGTACGAGCGAAAAATATGTATTTTGAAGGTTTGAACTGGATATTAACTTGAACCGCACGTTTGAGAAGAAGATCATAGTGTTTTAGAGCTTCCTCATCTGAATTAGACCAGGATAAAATGTCATCAACATTTAACCATTCATGTATACAAATAGTCAGCAAAAACTGTGTTTAAGCTTCTCTGAAATGTGCTAGGTGCAGTCTTCAATGGAAGACGTAAGAGCTCATAAAGTCCGACATGTGTGCAAAAAGCAGTTTTATGTGTGTCTTGGTGTCTAACAGGTATTTGCCAATATCCATTGGCAAGATCACAGAGACCAAAGACTTTACCCTGAGTCATAGAATCCAAAATACTAGAGATTGAAGGAATGGGATACCCATCTCCTAAAGTGACACTGTTTAATCCTCTGTAGTCAACAACAAACCTCGGTGGTTGTGGTTTTCCATTTTCAAGTGACTTTTGTACTAAAATAAGGTGCATCTTAAAAGGTGCACCCCATTCTGACTTATTGGGTTGAATAATTTGAAGCTTGAGCGTGCGTTCAATCTTATTCTTAATTGCCAAGAGCTCGGTTGGGCTTTTCCGATAGGGATGTTTATATACAGGTAAGGCATCACCTGTATTTATATTGTGTTTGAAACCTTTAATTTCATTGAGCATTTGTCCTGGTATAAGAAATGTCGACTGGTACTTAGTGACAATGTCTTTGAAGGCATCTAAAATTTCTGGACTAACATGAGAGTATTTGTCAGTATCAAGTTCTAGAAGGTCAAACAGTTCCTGAGGTGATACTGGTGTGATATGATCTTCAGGAAATGGATAATGGTGCTTTGTGTTAAATTCAGTGCTATCTTCTGTAAATTACTGCAGTAGAGATGAATCTAGGCCTGTATTTGGAGTTCTGCATTTTGTTCTGAAAGTTTCCATGTTTGTCTGGGATATGAGCCTTGCTGAATTAAACTGTGTGAAGGTTGGGGTTGATCTGAGTTCATTTGGGCCCAAGTTAACCATGCCTCGGACAACTGATATCTAGTGGTTGAGGCAGCATCTGTAAAGCTTGCTTTGTCGGCGACATCTAACGCTTAGAGCTCGCCGCGTGAGGATGTGTTTTTTGAGCTCCGTTAAATGTTGTTGTAGCCTATATCAATTATGTCTGACCTAAAATCACTCAGGAAAAAAAAAGACTTGAAGACTTAAGTAGAGTCATTAATGAAAGAATTCCAGAAGATAAGCGGCCAAATCGATACGAATTCGAAGAAGAAAGCCAATACAAAATCAAAGCAGAATGTTGAGCAAGGGCAAGGCGAGAAAGAAAAGGCGATTGAATTTCTAAGCGACCAATACGATGATTTACTTTCATATAATAGCAAGATGAAGAAATATCTTGATCGCTTGGGCGCCCAATTAAACGAAATTAGTATGAAAGTCGAAAGAATTGAGAAAATTCTCGATAGTTTCGAATCCTACAGTTATCAGTACGGTGCGAAAATTATCGGTGTACCGGAGATTAATACAAAAGAATCGTCAATAAAAACCACTAAGCTATGTGTTGACCTGTTTAATGCAATGGGTGCTAACGTTTCTGCCCAGGATATTGACATTGCTCACCGCGTCTCGGATCGATCTTCTTGCTCAAGCGAAGGAAAGCCGAAGCCTATTATATGCAAGTTTGTTAGGCGTTTATCAAAAGAATCTGTGATGAAACTGAGAAAGGAAGCAGGTAAAATTAATTCTTCTGACTTGGGTTTCAATGCTACTCTAGACATTAAAATTGCTATATTTGATTATCTTACGCCGAAACCTCAGAAACTCCTGTATGAAGCAAAAAATTCAAAGCAAGCCATCGATTTGAATACTGTTGGACCAAGGAACAATCAAGTATATCTTCGCGAACATGAGAATTCCCACACCTATAAGATTTCTGACCTTCAGGATTTAAGAAGACTAGAGTCATCCGACTACGAGTGCAGCACAGGATCAAGAAGCGATTGTGGCTAAATAAGTTAAGTACATTTAAGCTTTTGCTCAGGCTAAAAAAGTGTGTGTTTTCGTTGTGTGTATAATTTATAAATGGCAGATATTGACGACCAAAGCAGGAAGAATAATCCTAGTTACTTTTCTCTTCTTCCTTTCCAACACGTATATAATTTAGATGAACAGAATCATCGCTATACCACTGCCGGTTTATCTAGTGAGTTGCCCTCAAGAAATACTCTTGATCATTTACCAAGCCTATTTTACATTGATGTTTTTAAAATGAATACAAGTTTTAATAATGATTTCAAACCAGATCAAAATTTATATAATATAGCAAAACACGATTGTCGATATTTTTCGCCGCACAGTTTTGATTTGCAAGTAGCGAAAATAACTAATAAGAAAACAACGCTATCTTTCCTACATAATAAAGTTAGAAGCTTAAAAAAGAACCTGGAGAATTTGCAAAACCATCTTCTCAGCGAATTTAATTTTCAATGTAATATCATTACATTGCCGACGGCGCGAAGCGCCGTGCGAGGGTACTAATTCCCCCAGGCTAGTTACACCCGGGGAAACGAAAGCATTAGCGAAGTCTAAAGTTCATCAAATATCGCGGGCGTGGGTCACCAACCATGGGTGGTCATCCTCACTGATCTCAAAAATATGGCGGACTGTCATGAATAGCGAACACTGTGATTGGTCCAATTTAAAGTCTGCACTAGAACGACTGCATGACGACAGCGAAATAACAAACATTTCTTTATTTGATGATTGATAAATTTCTTGCAAATATATTTCATTTTTGCTCGCATTTTTGTAAGATTTTGTAAATTTCAAGAATGAAATGGCGAAAGAATCGGCTAAAAGAAGGGAGCCGACGTTAACGAAGGTAAGTTTGTTTTAAATATTGATTTTATAATTGCTTTAAAACCCAACGGCCTTTGCGTATATGAAACAACTAAACAAGACAGCATATCGGGCCCTCGATCGGGCTGATTCCCTTTTTTATTATATTGAATTTTTTTAAATAAAAAAGAAAGCAAAGTTATTTGCATGGGAGAATTTGAAATCATTTTATTGCAAACTCAAAGGCAAAGCTTATCGATAAAGCCATTTAATTAAAGAATAAAGGCAGTTTAGTTTTATAAAGAACACTTTAAAACGTTTTGCGAAGCGTTTGTAGTTGAATTTTACCTTTAAATTGAATTATTTTCCATCTATATCAGAAAAAAAACAAATTATAATCCTCCAATAATTGTCTATGATTCAAATTCCAAAACATACTTACCATTGCAAATTAAATCCAATGTCAAATATCTTGGATTGCTTATAGACTCAAATCTAACATGGAAAGTTCATATTGACTATATCTCACTGAAGATTAGTAGAGCTGTTGGAATCATTGCTAGGCTTAGACATTTCGTACCTAAACACAACTTGCAAAGGATTTATTATGATCTGCTTCATCCATATTTAAATTATGGCATATCAGTTTGGGGTCAAACGTGTAAAACGCATCTCCACCTTCTCGTCCTCCAGAAACGCGATATACGACTAATTAATTTTGAGAATTTTAGAGAACACGTTGTACCGCTTTTTAGTGCTTCCCAAATACTTCCAGTTCACTTTCTGTACTTTTACAATGTTGCTTGCAATATGCATGACATTATAAATGAAAGGGCGCCCATCAACATGTCGTCATTCTTCACTACTATTAATGAAAGTCACAACTATAATACAAGATCTGCTGTTCGCGGTAATCTTTATCAAACTAAGTCAAGGTTGCATATTACACAAAAATCCTTTGCTAACGCTGGTGTTGAAGTTTGGAATGCTCTATCTATCTCACTCCGTTCGTTAAATAAACATAGTTTTACAACACGTTGCAAGATCATTCTTATCAATACCATGATGGCTTGTGATGATTACGTTGATTTCGCCACAATATTGCAAATAGTTTCGGAGATGTAATTGGGCAATTTTGTTTTTGTTTTCAATATTTCCTTCCGATTTGAATTACGATAATTTATACTATTAAGATAAATTGATACACTATTTATCAATCAATTGAAAGCCACCTACCTCGAATAGTTTGCTAAATGTAGGTGGTTTCTTGTAAATTATTTTGAAAAAAAATATTTAATAAAGTAGTAGTAGAAGCTGGGCCGAGATAACATTGTCATTAATGATCATCCCGTTTGTGCCGACAATCAATTGATAACATTGTTGAGTAACCAGTTTGGGGAATGGGATCAAGTTCCTTTGTTCCCGAATTAATGTAAGCTGTGATATCATCTATTGGAACAGGATTGGTCATATCATTGTCAGTCATAGAAGCACAACAAGTGGTTTGACTAGAAGTACTGGGTAGTTGCATTTGTTTTTTGACAATTAAATGGGCCACCCAGAACTGTTAAACCAGGCTGAACTGTTTTTCCTTCAAGCCACAAATCTGGAGAAAGGACACTAAGTGCAGTGGAGAGTGTAAACACACAGGAACTATACACAGGAACAAAATTCATACCTCTGTGAAGCATTGTAGGCTTGGATTTGTGAGTACCTACAGAGGGGCCTCCAGTTAAAAGGCATGTAACTCCTGCATGTGGTCGTGGAGTTGAATTCTGAAATGCTTGTTGGATGTTTTCCAGGGAACATTTGATTATGAATTGCATGCTGGGGTGTCGGAATTTGATGCTGGGGACTGCAGAGTGGAATGAAGGTGGTATAGGATAGGCCAAGATAGTTGTGGGACTACGAGCATTGTAAAAATGGATTCTTCCCCCCCCCCCATCCCATACGATAGGTATTTGCATGGTGGCAATCTGGCATCAGCAACCGACAGAGGGATAGGTTCTTCAAGGTTTTCAAATTTAAGATCTGGTTGTTTAGAAATAACAATGTCTGCATGTGCTTGACTAACCAGGGAGACTAACCTCCAGTTATGGAGGGGGAAGTTGTGGGCGTTGCTGGACAGGTTTATTCAAGGAACAACTTCGTTGAAGATGGGAAGGGTCACCACACTGATAGCATGCTTCAACAGGGTTTTTTCTGAAACATTTCGAATACCCCCCTTAGTGGCCTGGGTAAAAAGTGCCCCAAGGGGTTTCCAATCACTAAGTGAACTGGATAAATTGTTGTCTGTGTTAGACTCTTTTACTTCATGCATCTTCAAAGACTGTTCAATACGACGGACAGTCTCGATAATACAAAAGTTCAGCTTTATCATTAAATGTTAGACCAAATAAAGTAGCAGAAGCTGCCAAATGGCTTATAAATAATGGTAACCTTTATAAAGATGAAGGTATAACTTTCAATGACACTTGGCTTGAAGATAATTCAAATTCTCAATTGGTATTTGATCATAGTGACAGTGATCAAACTTCAGAGGTTTCAGAAAATGTTGTGGACTGTAATACAGAAAGCTTGAACTGTGACACAGAATGTAAAACCCAGCAAACATCAGCATGTGATGATGATGAACACTGGAGTGAAGACGAGGCAGAAATACCTGCTGGAATCACAGACACTATGTTAACATCTCCAGATTTTGTCACTGATAATGAACGTCAGCATATTTTAAATGTTGCACCTGGTGTGGGCAATAGGCCAATGAGCATATTTAGGGATAAATACTCAGAGGAATTAGCATATCCCGGTATATTTCTTGGACAGAAACGACCAGACAATACAAATAGACTAACCAAAGTCCATTATAGTGAAATTTGTAAATCTGAATTAAGAAGGTGTGACCGAAGAGCTGCAATGTGTGTGGAAAATATTTTCTTTAAAACGAAGAAATTGCAAATGAAGATTTTGCTTGGACAATCACAAGTTGCATTGAGAAAATGTCAACGAAACAGTAACACAATCACTGCTGGTCAACTAAAACAACCAGGTGCATTAGATAACATGATTCATCATGATCAAGGATTTAAATTTCTTAGAGCTGTAAGGGGTTCACCTCCATATTTTGAGAAAGCTAAAAAGGATATATTCGCAATGATCAGGCAGTTAGGGTCTGTTTCATTATTTTGTAGTTTTTCTTCAGCGGAAACACAATGGACTCATTTACTTAGAATACTTGGTAAACTTTTTGATAACAAAACATACACTGATACTGAACTTGAGAACCTCAATTGGGAAGAGAAAAGTAGGTTAATTCAGAGCGATCCTGTGACATGTGCCAGACATTTTGATTATCAAGTACACAAGTGTTTGCAGAACTTTCTTTTAAGTAGTACTGTACCTCTAGGAAAAATTGCGGACTGGTTTTATAGGGTTGAATATGAACAAAGAGGATCACCTCATATTCACATGTTAATATGGCTAGAAAATGCTCCTACGTTTGGTGAAGATTCTGATTATGATGTTGTTTCATTCATTGATAAGATAGTCATATGTGAAAAGCCAACTGAGAATCCAGATTTACTTGCACTTGTAAACAGGCAAGTTCATCGCCATTCTCACACATGTCGAAAGAAATCCAAAAGTGTCTGTCGTTTTAATTACCCACAGCCACCCATGAGGTCAACCAAAATTCTATATCCATTAGATATTGAAATGGATGATAATGAAGTTGATCAACATAAAGATACTTGGAAATTTATAAACAAACATCTGAATGATATGAAAGAGGGTGAGGACATTACATTTGACCAGTTGCTTGTAAATCTTAAACTGACAGAAGAAAACTATTTGCTGGCCGTTCAATCTTGTCTCAAGTCACCAACTATATTCTTAAAAAGAAAACCAAACGAACTAAGGATCAATAATTATAATGCTGCATATCTCAGTGCATGGCGTGCAAATATGGATATTCAGTTTGTACTAGATGTATATGCATGTGCAATATACATTGTGTCATATATATCCAAGGCTCAAAAAGGCATGAGTGAGCTATTGAGAACAGCTTGTGAAGAAGCAAAAAGGGGCAACTCCAGTATTAAACAACAAGTGAGAGATATTGGAAATAAGTTTTTGAACAATGTTGAAATAAGTGCACAGGAAGCAGTCTATATAGTACTTCAACTTCCAATGAGAAAATCGTCTCGTCAAGTAGTTTTTATAAATACTTCACCCCCTGAGGAAAGAGTTCAGTTACTAAAACCATTGCAAGAAATTAATGATTTGGAAGATGATTCTGATGAAATTTATGCATCTGGTCTAATAAAGCGTTATACAAATCTGTCCCTTGCAGATTGGGCTGCATGGTACGACTCCACTGGTAAGCCATATATCAGACCATCTCGTCAATTAGATATTGATAATTATCCACTTGAGACAAACTTGAGTGACAATGATGATAATGAGGAAGAAGAAAGCAAACAAAAGAATAAAAAAAGATCTTAAGCCAGAATTATTCGAAGTGTCTGTTTTAACAAGGAAGTTGATTTTGAAAAGCATTACCGTGAACTAATTATGTTATTCACTTCATGGAGGAATGAAATAACTGATTTATTAGGAAATTGTACTTCTTACCAACAACACTATTTACAAGTTAAGAATACAATAGATGAGCAAATGAAATGTCATGCTATGTGTAGTGAAGACCTGGATGCAATTCAAGACCAGCTTAACAATGTGGAAGATGATGATGAAAACTATGACCTGATTGCCCCAGGAACACAAAACATTGAGCGTCAAGATGAGGACGAAGGTGCGCAAGACCTTCATCCAGAATTTAATGAAAACTATGACCTATCTGGTGATTTTGGAATTCCTTCAGCTGGATCTAATACTGAGTAGCTGATATTACATGAAGAACAGGATAATGTTTACAGAGGAATGGTACAAAAATTAAACAGAGAACAAAAAGAGTTTTTCTTCCATGTTTTATATCTTATTAAAACTTCTGACAATCCATTCTACTGTTTTCTTAGTGGAGGAGCAGGAGTTGGCAAGTCACATCTCACTAAGTGTCTTTATCAAGCAGCATTAAAGTACTATAATACAAGAGCAGGTGATGATTTCCATCAAGTGAAAATATTAATGCTTGCACCGACTGGTAAAGCAGCTTACAATATCAAAGGTAACACAATACATAGTGCACTTTCAATACCTGCATGTCAATCTTTAAAGAATTACAAACATCTTGATTCAAGCAGGTTAAACAACTTACGATGTCAACTTGGTGGTTTGAAACTAATATTTTTGGATGAGATCTCAATGGTTGGTAGTACAATGTTTAATGTTCAAATAAATAATAGACTGAAAGATATTAAAGGAAGTAAAGAAGATTTTGGTGGTGTAAGCATGGTTGTTATTGGTGATTTATTTCAGCTGGAACCTGTAATGGACAGGTATATATTTAAGAATCTAGACAATTCAGAATATGCAGCTCTTGCTCCTAATAAATGGCAAGATAACTTCAATATGTTTGAATTGGAAGAAATTATGCGACAAAGGGAGAGCAAAGTGTTTGCTGAAATATTAAACAGACTTAGGGAAGGAAAGCATACTAAGGATGATATTTTGAAACTAAAAGAAAGATTAATAAAAGAAAATAGCATCCAAGATCCCATGGATGTGCCTCACTTGTTCATACAAAATCAGAAGGTAAATGAATTCAATGAAAGAGTGCATAATGCAGCAACTGGTGAAAAGTTTTCAATCAAAGCAATAGACAGTGTTATAGGAGCTAACTCTGCTCAACTTCGAGATAAAATTTTGAGTCAAATACCAGATGATCCCAGGAAAACTAAGCAAATTGCTTCAAACATTCAATTGTCAGTGGGGGAAAGAACTGAGGTAGCATTAATTAAATGCACGTACTGATGATGGCATGACTAATGGTGCTGGTAATGTTGTTAAAAAGATACAATTGAATAAAAAAGATAAACCTTCCGGTATAATATGGGTCAAATTTGACCATTCAGATGTTGGAGAGAAGACCAGACATGAAAATAGACATCTTAATGTCCAATGTATTGAGTCCACATGGACTCCAATAAAGCCAATCACAACTCAGTTTGCTGTGGGTAGAAACCAAACTGCACAAGTTGTTAGAAAACAGTTTCCACTTAGACCTGCTGCGGCTAAGACAATTCACCGTTCATAAGGGGACACTGAACAAAAAATTGTTGTAAATTTCAACACTAGAAGATCAATACCACATATACATTATGTTGGTTTGAGCAGGGTAACAGCGATTGAAGGTTTATTTATCACTGACCTATGTGAAGATAAAATAGCTGTCAATCCTCATGTAGCAGCTGAAATGGAACATTTGAGAAATGAGAGAAGATTTATAAGACAGACCAAGTCTCATTCAAACTGTGCTATCTAAATGCACGGTCGTTGCATAAACACATTGATGATATTCGGCATGATTTTAATTTTGCTAATACCGACATCAATATTTTTTTTGAAACTCGATGTATGCACTCGGATAATGCCAGTATGTATGATATTGATGGTTACACCTTGTTCAGAAATGATGGTCACTCTTTGACTACCAGACCCTTTGGTGGCACGGCAGTGTTTAGTAGAGTTGAATTCTTACCTGGACATCCATGTTGTTATAATATCAATGGCATTGAAATAACCATTATGAAAGCAATGATTCTTCCACATGTTACTATAATTGGTATATATCGATCACCCAGAATTCCAGTACAACAATTGTGTGCAGCATTAGATGAAGTTTTGAGGTTTTCTACTTCTCAGTTTAACATTTTCATAGGTGATTTTAATATCAATTGGTTGGATGAGGCCAATAGAAGGCCTTTAGATAGATTTTTTATCAACGATCATAACTATATGCAATTGGTGTCTAATGTCACTACAGACAATTGGACATTAATAGATCATATTTACACAAATCTACCAGAGTCGCAAGTTAGTTCACACACTTTAGAAACTTATTTCTCAGATCATAAAGCAGTTTGTGCCTTAATTAATTGTTTTCATTAAAGTAATGCTATGGTAGAAATATTTCTATATTGGGAAAAGAGTCACTGGACACAATTCACTTAAATATTTACACATTTTGGTTTTATACACATTAGAGTTAAACAAAATTTACTAATTTTCAAATGCCAGTAACAGAATCACCAGGTAAGCAAATTTATTTTTACACTTCCTACCCACCAACCCACCCACCCACCCACCCACCCACGACCCACCATTTTGATTTCTAACATAAATGTTTTTGTTTACAGATTAATACAACAATGACTAATAAATGTACTGGATATATTCGTTGGATAATTCCATCAGAACCAAACCACTTGCAAGACAATCTCACCTAAATTCATTAGTATGGCTATACGAAAATAACTTAACCACAATAATCATATGGATGGATCTGATCAGTGGCATACAATGTACAAAACCAAATTTGTACTCAAACAGATAGCTTCTAGTCAAACGGATTTTCTCCCAAAACACAAATTGCTTTTGTGTGGATATGCTGCGTTAAAATTATACCGAACAGTGTGCTATATCATTGACTGCGCACAGGACTGGAATGGAATTGTACAATTCACTCCTGACCTTCAAAACATTCTCTACTACTCAACAGTTAACATTGGCAAGTGTAACTAACAAGTGACAGAACTTTTGCTTCATATGATTACAATAAAGTTTTGAAAGTTCCATGTGTATGGATTGACAAGTGACAACATCTGCTATGCAGACTATATGGCATCTAAAATGTGTTGTGTATATTGACATTATATGGATAATAAAGAAGATTGTCAAGTTATCTCTGTGACATCACAACTTGGTTGACCTAAGGAAACCTTTGTTACAGTTATGGAAACACCACTGCAAGTGGAATTTATAGCAGCTGTTTTATTCACTGTGAAAACCAGATCAATACTCACACTGTTGCAGATTCAATACTAGAATCTAACATTAATTAAACATTTATTTTCAATTGAAAACCTTCAGAAACTGTACAGTCTATAATATATACTCGTGATATAAATTTAAAAATACTTTATTTTATGCTAGTGTAATATTGTGTGCATGAAATTTTTATTTTCTGACTGCATAATTATCCGTTACAGTCATAATCACATTACAAAATTAGTTACATTTCCTCGGCGGGGTGGGGGTAGGAGCAGTTGCCCCTGCTTGTTTGACTTTAAAATCTTATTTGCTATTATAATTATAATAAGTGATGAAATATTTCAATTGCCCCATGTCATCTTCATTATTCAGTTCCTTTCAACTAAATACAAAATGTGAATCCAGTTTTTCGCAGATACATGTACGCCTAGCGTACCTATTTTTCGTACGTGCGAACACGCACGTAAAAGTTGAATTCGCTTTACATCCTACTTATGAAATAACTAAATTTATAAAAGGACAGCATTCAGTCTTGTGTATGATTTAATGTGTATTTGTTAAGGTTATTTGCACTTATATGAAATTTTAAGCGAATTCAACTTTTACGTGCGGGTACACACGTATGAAAACCGCGTAACTGGAATGCAGCCTTTATTGTCGATTTCGTGTCACATTTCAACGCGCGGTTCCCAAATTCGTTGCAAATTACATTTCCAAGTTCAAATATTGGGCGTGAACTTCGCAACAAAGATCGCAAGTACGTTTCAATGTTTGAACTATTGTAAAAAAACGGTCATAGTTCAAGTTGAAATTAACAATTCAATGGAAAGTTCTTGGTCGAGTGGTTTACCAAGGTTTGTTTTTCATTGAATTGGTTATTATTATTGAGTATGAACATTTGTTTACAAACGAAGTTTAAACATTGAAATGAAATTTCGCGCCCAATTTCCAAAATTGGAAACGTAATTGGCAAGTTCGCAACGAACTTGGGAACCGCGCGTTGAAAAGTGACTTGAAATAGACAATAAATCTTGTTGAAGAATGAAAGTAGTGATACATCATAATTTGTGTTGTGTTGCTATCTAATCAATGTACCTAATTAATTTTGACCTATCTAGACCGTCCCCTTCCTACAGCCGCCTACTTTATCAAAAACAGACGCCTACTTTAAATACTTCATGTTCGGAAAATGCAATGGTTTTGTCAGCAAGGCGAGGGGTTTCTGCATGCACGTATTTTCAAGTTAATCTAATATTTTGGCAGTTGTCTCTATAGCCTACCTTGACCTTGAGATTCTAAAGGTGTATATGCATGCGGTTTCGCTTATAAAGTCCCGCGCGTACAGTCGATCATGTTTTCCTTTACAAGTTCCTTTGCAGCTTTACTTGCTCGTGTACGCGAGCAACTAAAACTCGTCAAGGAATATTTGCGAATCATCTGTACGTGGCTTAAGGTGGCTAGCTACACTTTTTTATAAATAAAAAATTTTATGATTTGGATATGAATTTCTGGAAAATTATTATTTGTTTAAAAACAAAGAGTATCTGATTGGTATAACACAATAACTAAGGAGTTCGGAATTTTTAAAGAACTACTTCTAACTGCCGTTGCTATATCAACAATGATGGATATTTTATATTTAAAGTAATTTAACTCGAAAAAAGATCTGTTACCCCCATTTTTTATTTTATAAAAATTAATGATTTCTTTTAGTATTTTGAATTATTTTCATGATTTAAAAAAAAATCTATCATGGCAAAAAAAAACATTATTACGAATTTTCACATTTTCCTATCTTGAAAAATTTCGGCATGACATAATTTCTTAAATAGATGAATAGCATCAATTGTCAAAAGTGCACAAAAAGATGATAATCATCTATCTATAGCTAGGGAGAACTCTAATCCTGATCCAAACCCTATAACCTCTAACCTCTATTTTTTTGTTAAAAAACTCTTATAAAGCGGTTGAACAACTCTTATAAAGAATGAGTATTTATAGCAATTTATTCTTGGCAATTTAGTATAGAACGTATACTGTCTTATGGTTAACTCTAGTCTTGTTCGTGGGTTTATACTCAAAGATCTCCGCAAATGATATACCATTAAGACCGAATTTCGATTTATAGCGTTGAACAAGAGATAGAAAGACTCTACGCTTTTCAAGAGTTAGTGTTCCATTTCAAAAGCATACACCGTTCTACATATGGTATTTCTCCACGCTATTGAATAAGAGCTAATCTCGATGCCCTTTTTTAATGCCCTCTAGAGCTTTTACATGTCGCATTTGATGAGTTTTCATACGGGAGAAGCATATACTCTAATACAGGTCACATCAGGGCTAAATATAACTTTGCAAAAACAACTGTATTATAGAGGAGCCGACTGTATGTTTAATTAGATCTACTGTAGGATCTCGACCAGTCGTTATAACACAACAATAACTGCGATAAGGTTGATTTATGCTGAATAAATCCGATTTACCTGATTTAAACCATGGAATTCAATTTTTTATAGTAATTCCAGTCCCGACCTTTTTCCAACTTTTTTGCTTTTCTAAACGCCGCCTTTTTTCCCTATATAATCAGATCAACTCTTTAGAAATCCATGGCGTATTTTTCTTTATTTTACCGTTCATTTGTGGAATGCAATCGTTCATAGCCGCAAAGAACAGATCATTCCATGCTATCCAGCTTTCGTCAATATCGTCATTGTTCAGTGGGCAGTGCCAAGGAGTATGCAGGAGGAGGTCTTTTAATTTATTCCATTCTGTTTTTTTGAATGAGTAACACTGCCTCTGTCTCTGAGGTCTCGACCTATCTTCATGTGGCGCACATTACAATTTATTTCAAATGTAATTTGATTGTGATGAGAAAACGGTTCACCCACGCGAAGTCTTGCACGAATAGTCTGCATGTTGTTGTTGTCAAAACGAGATATAAGATATTTTGATCTCTTTTGGGTTGGCTCACCATTTTGGTAAAGAAATTATCATGTATAATCTCTATTAGAAGATTGTGCAACGGAGCGTCTCTTAGACTTATTTATCTATCATTTGTTAAAGCCACCTGCAAGTATGATGTCTGCAGAAAAAACCTCGCTATAAGTACTCTCTGTAAATCTTTTAAAGGCTCTAAATCACCACTGGGTGGTCTATAAAAAACACGAATAGTTAATTTCTTATCTTGCTTTAATTTAGAATTATATCCACGATATAATTCTATATTGGTCACCTTTTAGAGTTATATCCACGATATAATTCGATATCCATATATCTATCAGCTCATATTCGATTCGAGTTCGTAGAATAACTGTTAAAAAGCCCCTGAAAAACTATGAGAGAGGGGAATATCAGAGGGAATTATAAGAATCTCATCTACTTAATCGTTTATTCAGTTAATTTATTCAGATCAGTGGTTTACCCAGAAAACGAAAGCGGAACTAAAGCGTTCATCACCGGTATAGAATTCCTAAGACGACATCTATTGACAACATCATATTAAGGTACGTTACGTGTTTTAACGTTCTTAGATATTTGCTGTATAAGTTTAAAGTTTATATTATGTAGTGGAGATTTACGCTATCAAATGGTCTAACCGATGACACGACTTTGCGGCAAAACGGAGGATATTTGAGGCTGAGAGCCTGACACTGATAGGCAACGAGTTTCTTCTTGCTTCCGTGCTTCGTCATGACAACGAGGTCTGGCAAAATCTACATCTTATATAAAACAGGCCGTACTTTTCTTGATGTCGTTTAGGCAAATTGAAACGAGAACAGAGTGTAGTGCATCTACATTATATGATGTGTATATATCGTAAGGAAACGAAATCTCTTTTTGAAAATAGAATTTCATTTATAGTCCTCGTCAAATCACCATGAATATGTTCGGACATATCCGATTTGTCCGGACATATCCACAGTTGGAAAAATAGTATTGTGCCTTCACACAATGTTTTGTATTAAATTTCAAGTATTGTTGAAAGGTTTTAGCTTTTTTCCTTGTTGAAATACAGCTGTTTAGTACTCGAAAACAGATGTCTTTTAAGCGGCGTATTTCCCACTCCATACCTACATGGCGGCCTTCAATTTGGCTTCAGTGATGGCGGCCCAGTCCTTTTCTAGTCCTTTCTGGCCTGTTAATTTGTTCATCTGTTTATTGGTATTCTAATATCTGTCACGTCATTGTGTAAGTTATTGTTATGCTTATGTATGTTGTGGAACCCCGTTATTCGAGATTTATCTCTGTCTGGTCATTCCAGCCATTGTGTGTAATTTATAGCTTGTTTACATCTTTAATAATGGCAAACTTGTGAAATGAAATGAAATTAAACAAGACGCTCTGCGGAGCGTGAACTCGCTGGGGATATACAAATACGCACATTACTGTACAATGTACATGATGCATACTCTTTCAATTGAGATTCAAGGTTTTCCCCGAGCTAAGCGGAAAAGTCGAATACGAGCGCGAAAGGCTGTTTATAAACACAGTACTAAAATGCGCTGCTTTGCCAATAAAACTAAACTTCCGGCGTTCCATCACGCTATAAAATTATACATTCTTCTGTCGGCCGCCAGTTGGTCCGTACGCAAGGATTAATAACTGGCTGCGCTTTAAAACGTTCAAAATAAAATATTTTGGGGCTAATTTTGGGCTCAAAATACTATCAAAATGAAGAGAGAAGTGAGACGAATCCACTGGTATACCGCCGAAAAAGAGAAAACCAATGATACCAAAGTTATCAAGGATCAAACGTACTGCATTTTTTTATAATTAGTTTAATAATATTGAGCGATTGGCAACATTAATACAATTTCGCTTGGCTTTCAAAGACAAAGGCCATAAATCGCTAGAACACTGTTGTTTAGTAATATATTTGACATCCGTAATTAGTACAATTTCTAACGCTGAATCGAACGGTGGTATTTTTATCCTTATTGCGCCATTACAAATACAAGGACAAACCTGTGGACAAACAGGAGTGATTTGTGATCAACAATAAGTACTGCGAGCGATTTTTCAACAATACAATTTCGCTTCATTTTCAAAGGCCATAAATCGCTACAATACGGGTGTTTAGTAATACACTTGACATCCGTAAGTACAATTTCTTACGCTGAATCGAACGGTGTCGCTTTCTTCTCAAAATATAAAGCAGCACAGTCAAACGTATAAACTTTTATAAACTTGCGATTTGCGAAGGTTGCTGTTTCAATGCAAAATTCCTTGTAAAATTGTTCAATTTTCCCGAATTTTCCTCAAAATGGAGGGCTATTTATGGATAATTTGGGTAAAATCGGCAGGAGCCTTATGGATAATTGGGGGAAAATTAGGCAGCTCATTAATATTCTATTTTGTGGCTATCGACAATTGGAGAAAAATGCATGCCGAAACCTATACTCGTCTGAGGCACAGATTGCCCCAGCAAGTAATAAATGCACCAGAGCCTGGAATCTACTTTAATATACCAAATTTTCCTCGACATTCGTTCGAACTTCGATTTACCACAAAAACTACCGTGTTTTAGGACGAAAATTGAAGTCGATAATAAAAAAGTGTAATCGATTTTTGACTGTATCGTTCAAAGCAATTGAACTTTCTGATCATGTTTAAATTCTCACAGTCACATGGTACAGACATAGTATGTGAATTTCTCACGCGTGATGAATATCTCATTTCATATTCACCGCATCGGATGTGATACACGTTGAAAGTGGTGACCATGATTGCCACTGGTGATCCTGGCGGTTTACGAAATGGATAATTGCGGCGCCGAGGCCTTAGGTTGATGCTGTTTTCTAAATTGCTGCCCTGATTGGCCACTACAAAAATAAAATTTTTCGTGGCAGGCATAAATGATTCGCAAAAAAATCAGAGAGCCATAGAACTATGGCCGCAGAACCCTGTTCGTCTTCAGGATACAAAATAGCGCTCAATTCAGATATCTCTCACTTTGGTAGAAAAATATCGATCAAATTCCCGAGGTAGCTATGAGGAAACAAATGCCCCACATATGCCCGACTTCCACCCTCTCTCACCCTGGCGCTAAACACTGATAGATGCATTATTCAAGTTTGTATTGTTCCTCCAGCAAACACGCACCATAGCTTAAAGCTGGATTGTTTATTCTGTGACTGCATATGAACGTCCAATATGAAACGATGAATACCAGTCATGAAACCGATAAAACATTTGGTAAATTTTAGCGCTATCCGGCCGTCACCCAACAGGCCCTAGAACGTTTAGGGCCAATTCTTGTGATACTAACTTCTTGCTAATAATGGCATTCTAGATTATTCTGCAAATTTAATTTGCAGAATAATCTAGAATGCCATTATTAACAAGAAATTAGTATCGCAAGAATTGGCCCTAAACGTTCTAGGGCCGGTTGGACGACGGCCGGATACCGCTATCCACCGGATAGTGATTCAGCTTTCCTGGAAATACTTAAAATGCTATCATGCTACCGATATCTAAAGTCTAATCTGTATTATACCAATCAACAGACATCGTATTTCAATACATCAAAATCATCCTACCTTGTATTCGTCCCGGACATTTGGTATCATGTAATCCAACTCTAAAAGTCAGTGGGAAACGTTTTGTTAGCTAGGTAATTCGTTTAACACGGAACCAAGGACAACACGTCGCCCCCAACCTATATGAACAGCTTTTGTCATTTGGTTATTATAAGGGAAGCCTCACATATCGATTTTTTCCACGAGAAACGTCATATGTTCGTTTGGGGGTGGGGGTGGGGGGTTGCAGCTGTGACGTTTCTCAGTAAACATCATGGAAAAATTCGATAGTTTTTTCGAAAGCCTTGACATTTCGGAATCATCTTTGCAGAATAAAATAATTACATTCGTAATACCATACCTGTTCTATATACGTATACATTTATATTATTACGCCTGGCTTGCATTGAAAACACTCAAATAAAAAAAAATACGCGCTAAAATTATCAATAATTCATGCAAAAAAAGTTGTTTTGAGAAACGTTGGAAATTTTGATGACATATTCCTCACGGAAGCATCGCCAATAGCCAACCGTAGCCGTAGTAGAAAATTACCTTATCTGTACTATACTAAAGAACAAAATATCGATAACTATGTGTGACGTTTCTAAGGGGGGGTGGGGGGGGGTCTTCAGAGAAACGAACATATGACGTTTCTCATGGACAAAATCGATATGTGAGGCTTCCCTAACAACGAAACACAATAAAAACAAAAGAATGCATTTACTAAAAGAGACGCACAAACGCGTTCCACTCCCGTTTAAAAGGTGGCTTGATATATTAGTCCTCACAAAATCTCTTATACGAGAATGGTGAAGACCGAACTTTGCTATATAAACAAATCCACTGACCATTCATCACCATTCATGTGGAGCTGACGTAGCGAATTGCTCGCGTCATCGAGCAGCGCAGGAATTATACCAATCCGTCCCAGTTTATCTCGCCATTTTTAAGCAAGTCGACTGACAACGTTGCGAAGATTACGGTGGATGCTTCGTTCTGTTGCATACCTCTTAAATGTCCCGTTTCGTTTAGTAATCTTGCTCTTACATGCACTGATCTTCAATTTCAGTTCAGTTCCAACCGTACGTCGTATTTCTTGTTTGGCCGTTGTTCTTCCTGCTTCCATCGAATTCCTACAAGCAAGGCTTTCTTCAGTTCGTTTAATACAACAGTATTAAGAATGGATTTACAACAAAACATGGGGCAATCTCCGTCGCATGGACTTTCCACCTGCTGGGAAAGACCCTGCTATCGGCTGGTCACGTGTCTCCCAGAATCTGGGAGATAACAAAAAAAATCAATTAGGGTGGGTACCTAAGTACGTTTTGTTATTGAGCAAGGAGTGAGCGAAGAAATAACCCAGAAATCATGCAGGAAATATTTACAAAATTGTATATTTTATTTGTTATGAATACTATCAATGTTACACTATAGTAAATATCAAATTTCATTGCGCCTGGAATGTCGGTGAGCAAAGGTAGATCATATTTCAATAGACAAATTATCAATTATGCCGATACAGCTCGTCGAAGAAATCAACACGTCGCAAAAGTCACAAGAAAATATATTTCTACACCGGTACCGACCGATGTGACTGTTATTTAGCTGTTGATATCTATCCTAGAGGATTTATTAATACTGAGATGTGTAACGAAATATAGAGATCTTTTGATTAAAATAATTGAAAATAATTTTGTAAATGTTAACCTAGCTAATGTAAACCACATTCTTAGGTGTCATGAGAAACTAACAAGCTAATATTTCCTTATTATATTGTATAGAAACGTGTGTGACAATCACTGTCATAGCAATTTAACATAATGGACGTAAGGAGGGACCATTGCTGGCGCTGTGAAAAAGCAACCGGAGATTTTTCTGAAGAATGTAGTCACTGCAAGATAGCAAGTTACTGCAGTAAGAAATGTCTTAAAGATGATCAGTACAGACACAAAACAGAATGCGAGATATGGGGTCCCAAGAAATGTAACAACCCTGGCTGTTTTGCGACAGAAAAATTGAAGGAGGTAGGATCAGTTGCAATCTTAATTAACTTGAACAACCAAAATTAACTTCACGGTAACTTTGCAGGTGTTGCATGCACGTAAGATTTTAAATAGACTTGCTTCAAGTCACTCTCTTTTTGTAAGTGGGGTGACGAGGGATAAAGAAATGGATGGAAGGAGAGAGACTTGTTTAAAGTGGTTCTCCAATGTAAAAACTGCCTGCATTTTGTTCCACACAATCTTAAAGATATTATGGTAGCTAATAATACTACAAGGTTTCATTTCCATATCCGTTGAAGAAAGATCAATCAACGTATAAATTTGTAGAGATTTACATTAGATCATATGTGAGAGTTTTTATAATTTTAAAGTAGGCCTAAATGTAAACAGTTTGTGGGGTAAAATTATAATTTAACGACACCATTCCATAGTTCCCTACTCTCTTCAATCTGTATAACATTATTTCTCTGCATGCATTCCATATCTCGAAAATTTTTTTGAATTGTCTCAAACATCCCATTCTGTATATATTGACTCTGCCTGTCCTCATATCGCTTCAACTTTGCTGCCTGTGCAGTTAGTCTTTGCTTGAGTTATTCAACTACCACGCTCAGTCCTTTTCTCTGGTCCTTTTCTATTATCTACATCATATTTTCACTTCAGAGATTGAGCAAATTCGTTATTCCTTGAGTCATCTGATCGAAACCTCTCGAGCCTACTGATATTTTCTCGTAATTGTTTGATCTTCTGTTTGATTCTTTTTCCGCCATGGTTCCTTCATAAGGGAATTTCTCTCTTGCCTAATTTCCAATCGAGTAGTGAGAAAAAGAACGAGATGACTAACTTGCAACCATTTCATCGCCTTGGGTTTCCTCTTCACCTCTTTCATTGGCATTACTATTCCCAATATCACTAGTTTCCTTCATGGTTGGTGGATTGATCTCTTCCGGATCTTCTCCTATCCTATCCTATCCTATCCTTCCATGCAGCTGCAATTTTTCGCCGCATCTCTTCTATTTCTACAGCAGACAACGAACCATTGGTTTTTATCGCTCTAGCTTTATGCTACACTTTGCTTAATAATCTCACAGATCCCTTCCTCATTCCACAACCTATCATTCTCTTTAAATATCCTCGTCTGCTTTGGCTACTCTTGATGTAGCACTTCATTACTATTATATTCATTTTCTTCGTCCACTTCGTCCTACAGTAGCAGTAGTAGAGTTACGACACGGGCTCGGCCGCTCAACCCGATACTCCGTGACAGCTAGGTGTGGCACCCTCGCACGTTTGGATCCCATTTACGCCGTTTTCTTGCTTTCGTTCTCTCTTCCTCCCTCTCTCTCTCCCTCTCTCTCCCTCCCTCTCCCTCCCTTCCTCACTCTTTCTCTCTCTCTGCCACTCTCTCCCTCTCCCTCCCTCTCCCTCTCTCTCCCTCCTTCTCTCTCTCCCTCTCTCTTCCTCTATCTCCCTTTCTCTCCCTGGGTGCCTACTAGCGATAATGCAAAGCTTACTTCCCTTCCAGACTTCGAGTCTTCGTCAGAAGGATTGATCTTTCGAATTCTTGCGCTGTTGTTGACGCTGTTGAAGTCTGTGGGAACGTCTGATTGGTTGATGGATATCAGTATGTTGGTTGCCATTGGTTACTATGGAATGCGGGTGATTATTGTTATCATGAGACGGTGTAGGGAAGGAAGTTGAGGGTGGGTTAAAGGTTAATGAAGATGAATTAGGAGATTTGTGAGAGCGTTTCAGTTGTAAGTAAATTGTAGGGATGTCAATGTGACGGTTAAATGTTTGTTTGTCTAAACTATGCCACGCTTCTTTAAACTCACGGGCATGTTTAGTAGTTGCTTGTCCTAGGCATCTCGTTTGAAACCAGTCGTCAGTCGAATTTGTGTCCGTTGTCGTCTGTGTGTTTAGCTGGAAGTGAGCTATGGTCGTGTCTGTTGATTGCGTTCTGGTGTTCTGTTAGTCTTGTCTGAATCTTTTTAGAAGTTTGTCCAATGTACTTATCCGGACAGTTTTTGCACGGGAAGATATAAATGGCGTTATGTTTATCGGTTATATGTGTCTTGTCTTTGTGTTTAGTGAAGTTGGACCTAAGTTTGCATGTTGGTATGTGTGCAACGTCAATGTTGAAAGGTCGGAGGAGTCTAGCTGCCATTTCTGATGTAGTGTGTATGTAAGGAAGTGTAATCCTCGTTTTTGTTTGGTTAAGTCGGTCCGCGTGTTAGTTTGTTGTTTATGTTGTAGCACCTTATTAATGAAGTCTAAAGGGTAGTCACTTTTGTAGAGTACTCTACTTTTTATAAAAATGACTACCATTTAGACTTCATTAATAAGGTGCTACAACATAAACAACAAAGCGTGGCATAGTTTAGACAAACAAACATTTAACCCTACAATTTACTTGCAACTGAAACGCTCTCACAAATCTCCTAATTCATCTTCATTAACCTTTAACCCACCCTCAACTTCCTTCCCTACACCGTCTCATGATAACAATAATCACCCGCATTCGATAGTAACTAATGGCAACCAACATACTGAAATCCATCAACCAATCAGACGTTCCCACAGACTTCACAACGTCAACAACAGCGCGAAAATTCAAATGATCAATCTTTCTGATGAAGGCTCGAAGTACCGCGTCGAAAGCTCGAAACAAATAATTACAATCCGGAGAACACTGTATAATTTTGTAAAAATTATAATTTTTTATGTATATATATATATATATATATATATATATATATATATATATATATATATATATATATATATATATATATATATATATATATATATATATATATATATAATAATATATATATATATATATATATATATATATATATATATATATATATATATATATATATATATATATATATATATATATATATATATATATTATAGTATTGTGCTTTTCACTTTCACTTGGCTCTCACAGTCTCACATAAGTTCTCTCCCAAAATTGTAAAACAGCAGTTTCTAACGCGAGGTATATATATATATATATATAATGTGGTAAATGCGCCAGCAGTAAACAGACTTGATATGAAATCTGATCTTAATCCTTAACGACACGACCCTATTACCGCAATGCTTGTAAGCAATACGCTTTGCCGATTTAATATCTTCGGTTCATTGAATGCTATGAGGACAAAAATACCACCATTCGATTCAGTGTGACAAGATCTCCTCACTCGTAGC